ATATATATATTTAGAAGTGCCCTTTATATATATTTAGAAGTGCCCTTGGGCTTGGCTGGCTGGACCTGTTGCGGAATTTTTATGATAATAACACAAATTTCCGACCAGGCTGCGCACCTTTTTTCTCTTTTTAAATATTTTTAATGGATTTAACCAGCAAAGTCTGCGCTTAAGTGTGCATCAATTCGGTCAGTCGAACAGGTTGAACTCTTAGCTAACTTTTTGGCCAATCGAAGCAGTCCGCGTTTATCTTGATTATTAAGTTGTGGGCAACACAACGTATAAGAAATAAGGGAAATAACAAAAAACAACAGCAACCACTACGAAAAGCCGACTTCTTTCACTCTGAACTTGTTGGCTGAGGCTGAGGCTGAGGCAGCCAAGCTAAGTTAGTCAGCCTCGGTTGGATCATGTTGCCAGCTTCGCGACGGTTACCTCTGCTCGAGACGGACTGACTCAACAAGCAGGTTCAAGGTTACTGTGCTAAATGGTGGGGCATGTCTTTAATTGGCCGACTTGTCGGCCACAGTTGCCAAGCAGAGACGGCGACTACGAGAGGACGGACGGTGTTGCCGTTGATTAGGCTCAGCTCGACAGGCGTTGGAGCTATGCAAGCCAGCAATTGAATTTATAATGCTTACAGTGCCTATGTGCGCCACTAAATTCAGGCAGGCATTCATATTAACCTAGCTGACTTTACATTTGTACTAAATAAAAGATTTAATCAGGCTATAAAGAGATATTCTAAGGAAGGGATTCTCTGAAATTTCCTATGCATAATGCAAATTTAAATATAAATTGAATTTAGTAAGTACTTTTGATTCACTTGTAGAGGCCTGTCCATATTCGATGAACCCAACTGGGTAACCCTATATCTTTTGATTCATTAATATATGGTAATTTCATATTATATATGGTAATTTCCTATACAAACAATATATCTAGCTCAATTTCGGGTTTCATTCTCTACTTAAAATTTAATCGAATATCGATTTTACTCTTTTCATTACTTTCTTCGTTTTGCACTTAACTGTGTCTGAAATTGACTCTAGTGAGTGTGCCCAAGCTCCATCTATTCAATAGATCAACATACATGTGCTGGGAGCACAGGAACGGTGAACCTCAATAATTATTTTCGGATGCTCAGCAGACCAAAAACAACATACGATAATGTTAAAGTATGTAATGTTAAAGCTTATTAAAATACCAATAATAATTGCATAATTCAGCAGCTGCATCTTATTAATAACAGGCATAAATATAATTTATTTACCCTCCATCTCTAAGCTATAACTAAATCAGAAATGTCCTATTCAGAGTTAGTCAACAACTGCAGCTTCATTCATTCAATTTACAGATTTCCCCATTCTGCAATTCAATTGAAGCTTGTAAATAATAAAAAATAAGAATAATCACTTGGTTAACATTCTTTAATTAAACACGTTTGATTAATTAGTTCAGCAATTTAGTCCACTCAGTCATGCAGAAGTAAACCAGCTCAGACTCCGCCTTGGCATAATTAATAATCAAATTGGAAGTTCATTTGCCCGTGTTCGCCTCTTCGCTTCTTTTGGGCAATAAAAATAAGCCGAGCCAACTAGGCTGACAGCCCAAGGCACTCCTCCTGCTCCTATGCCGCCATGACTTTGAATAATTTCTAACCGTCTGCGACGCCGCATAGAGACTACTCGAGCACGAGCGAGCTCTACTACTACGTCCAACTAAATGTGCTCGAGAGCTCGTACTCTCTCATGAATATTGATTGGTTATTGCTGGCTGGCTGGCTGGGTCTCTCCTATCCCTCTTAAATTGTATTTCATATATGCATTAGCCCTTCCCTACGTCGTCTATATCTTCTACTCTCTCTGTTATAGATTGCGGTACGATATAAGGAAGCTGCTGTCTTTAGCTAACATATCTTATTGCTGTAGCTGGCTGAAGACATAAAGCGGATCTGTCTTGAGTTCCTATTAAAAAAGATCATTGTAAAGTTTTATCTATATGATTTGTATTCTGTTCTCAGGCTTTATATTTCAATTCACATCCAATTCCAAATCAAAATCAATACATACTTCACATTCAAATTTGTTTGGCTAGCCCCAACAACAAGCACCAAACTAGCACCAAACTAGTCCAGCTAAAGTTGTGTTTCGTCACCTTTGGATGCATAATTTGCAATGCATAATTTAGCAATGTTCGCTCAAGCGACGACTAGCCCATTTAATCTGTGGTCCATTCTTTGACTGCAAGATTTATTTGCACTGTAATTATTCACTTTGTGGCAACTGCCGTGAAACTCGCCCATTAAAGGCCCCACCACGTACACCGCATAACAACACACTGGCTACAGCCGGAGCCTGAGCACACATTTCTTCTTTCTGCGACTCTCTGTGCAGGGCGGGCGGTCTGTCTGTCCATGGAGCAGACCCCAACAACGCCATCACAGGCGTAGGAAAAACAAGTTAGTGTGCTCTATTTGAGAGGTCTCGACTGGGAGATACCCCAAGGTACTTATGAAAACATAGGCTGCCTATTTGGAAAAAGAGAAGGAATATGAGTACCTAGACGACCGTTAAGTATATAAATAACGTTGAGGACTAAAGTCTAACCGACTGCACAATACGCTGCTGATCGACCAGAATTTTGCCATTTATATGGTTGATGAATTGATAAAAATGTTTGAGATTGTTTATCTACCTGATTTATTTTAGTTAAGCTCTGAGTCCAGTTACTGCAGAACTTAAGCCAGGCGAACTCTGCTTTTTATTTTGTAAAGTTCAGTTGTGGCATATGCCACGTCAGTTCTCGAACGACTCAACTGAGCTCGCAATTTATCAGCAGAAAATATGAGGATTTGTTGTATGTGCCAAGTCGTCCTAGAAGATCACTCGAGAATTCAAGTAACGGCAGGAAACCTACGCAGCAGCAGAGCTAATGTGGTGTGTGCGTTTCTGTTTTCTTTTTGCTTTTGGTTTTCGGTTGAAGTAACGAGAAGACAACGACAGAGAACAACGATCTGAATACACTATAATTTGAGCGTGAATATCATTTTTCCATGAACAAGTATCCTGCAGCAATGGATGTGGGAACATTCACAGTAACTGCAATTACCTGGACTCGGGCCCAGCGAGTTAGCTCCGAGCCGAGCCGAGCCGAGTCGAGAGCTTAGGTAGTAGTAGACCTCCAGAGGTCCAGAGCTCAGATCTCTGAGCACAAGGGCAGGGACCATTTGGGCATTGTGTGCGCCTGCTTTGGATCTAAAGCAAAATTTATGAAGCCTACCATTAAGTAGGCAGCTGCTGGGGGAGAAGGTGGCCAGTTGGCAGTTGCTGGACTCGCATTGTTGTTGTTACTGTGTGAATTCAAGGTTAATTTCGTAGCCGGGTCTTTAACTAGCTGCACGCACCGCCCCCAAAGGAACCCCCCTCGCCTTGGCATGGCTCTACGCAACCGTTGCAACGAGGCGACGCATCGCCCTCCCCCTCTCTGCCCTACCCTTCCAGCTCAGCGTCTGTCTGGCCCGGCCTGGTCCGGCCTATGTCTGTGCCTGATAATTTTGATTGCTGCAAGCCATAAATGATCATAAAAATTATAGCAGCCGATACAAAGAGGGCAGCGAAGAAAAGCAAAAGCAAAAGCAGCAACAGCAAAAATAAAACAAACCACAACTACAAAATGCCCCGATAGGAGGACGGGCGGGGGATGGGGGCATAAAATCACAATCATAAAACAGATTGTGCAAATAAATGCTTTGAGGCGAAAAGTAAAAGTCACTTTATCATCGTTGTAATATATGTCTGGGCGCATACCTACATATATGAATGATGTATACGAAAGCCTCTTCTTTATCAAGTCTGACAGTAAATGGGGAGTACTTAAGGCGCTGACCAGTGGTCGTTCAGTTACTTTAAATTCGCTACAAATCAAATTTTTACTGAGCAAGGCAAGACAATTCTGATTCGAACCGGTTCAAACTTGAAGCTTTAGTGTTTGCAAAATAAAGTAGAAATCTGTATTGAAATACATTTAGTGTAAGACAAATTCGAATTAGGATTGACGTAGGCCTATAATTCTTCTCTCTTCTCTGTCTTTTTTTCTAGAATAGAATTATAAATAAATTCTTGATTTTGCCTTAACTTCGTAAAATGAGGGGCTCTAGCCACATCTATAATATAGTTAAATATTAATTAATAAATTTTCCTATACATTTCTGATTTTAATTTTAAAAATTTTAAGATATATTATAGTTCAAAGACCACTTCATTTCCATCCGTTAACTAGATTTGACTTCTGATTTTTATTTTCAATTTATGAAATATATTATGCACAAAAAACGAATTCAGGTTGACTATTCTAGGCTTAAGGCTCCATTTCTGTTTACTAGATTAGCGTAAGAATTTCTTAATTTGGATTAGTTCAGTTTAACTGCTGAGCTCTTGAATTTTCAACTTCTAAAAGATATAGAGTAAACAAGGATTCCAAGTACAATGTCAAATTCAAGTTGACATAGGGTTCTATATCGGCTAACAATATTTTAACTAGGGTTGTCTAACAATATTTGATATGATATGATGATATTGATTCGCATTCATTCATTTTTAAATAGAGCTTACCACGATTTGTGATTTCATTGCCCGCATTGCGATTGTTCTCATCCTGTCCGCCATGGCAGTTGGATGGAGATGTTGCTTTTGTTTTCCTCGACGTTGACACCTGTCGCTCCTGATTCTCGTCTTCGTCCTCCTCATCCTCACCCGTCTCGACGCCATCGTCGGCATCATCATTGGCCATCGCACTGACTGTTAGGCCAACGTTATTCGTGGAGCTGCTGTCCTCGAGATTACACAGCAGATTGCCGGCCGATTGGGAAGACGTTAGGGTATCCTTGTGATAGGAGCTATGGCGGTTGCCCAACTTGATCGCCATGTCCACGTTCGAGGACTGACGCAGACAACTGATCTGGCCGCCCGGCAGCGTGGTGCTGCGCTTGTGCCGGCTCTTTGATTTGGGAAAGGCTGTCAGTATATTGAGCCACCACTGCGACTCGTCCGGGCTGATGCCCTTCACAAAGGTGACGCGATCCTGCGCCGTTATGGCAATGGAGTTTGGATGGCCGGTAACCTCCTCGGCGCTGCTTACTTCGAGCACTTTGGTCATATCGATGCAGGCCTGTGGTATCGTCTCGGGCTGCAAAATAGAAAGGGAATGGAGTTTAGATAGAATTTCTTTTTTAACTGTAATCCTTTCTAGAGATATTAGGGTCAGGTATACCACAATATTCTGTGGAATAACTCTTTCGCATATATGTATCATATGTATCATATCAATAACCTTTGTGAAGATTCTCTATGACTCTAATGCCAGTTTGAAACATTAGGAAGATATAGTATATATGGGTTATATTATATATATTTACGGGATATCATATATAGTGGACTTTCTCTTTGAATTGTAGAACTCAGCCCATTACTGCCTATAGGTAACTTCCCATGTTATTAGAGAAGCAATCTTATAATGAAAACTGTAAGCGTTGTAGGGCAACACCTATTACCGCAGAGCTTCTCGTCAAAATCGACAGTTCTGAGAGCTGAAATCACAGCTTTATCAGCTGGATGACTGACTGACTGGCAATATATGAATATGTGAAACTTAATCTAGGCATAGTCTAAACAGTATAATATACAAAATATACTCACATAATCATCCACTGAATAAGTAAGCTCCCCATCATCGTAGAGGACAAACCATCGTCTTTGCCAACGCTGTAAAAGGCAAAAAAAGAAAGATTATTTTAATCTGTTATTTAACTCATCAAGAGTCGGTAATTTAATAAGAATCAGCCCCCCATTCTACACGCTGAAAGTAAAAATAAATAAAATAATATATGAATATAATATGAGCTCAATATTAGCCTAATCTCTTAATTGCTAATCAACACCCTGTTGAGTCTGGTTCTCAGTTGACGATACACTGAGAGGCTCTCGAATGAATCAACACACACTAGAGAACGGCATTCCCATATTTGTTTCGGTGATATATTTACATATCAGACTATTGGCCGTGTGGCTCGTGCCTTGTCAGATCATTACCATTTTAGAATTTTAGCATTTTCGGGCTTTCGTCTGCCTACGAGAGGTGGTGATGGTAAATTATTGTCATTGGATGTGACTGCTACGCCCCCTTTTTTTTTTTTTAGACGAAGGAATCATAATTCTTTCATATGTCGCCTCGCCTCAGCTCCAGTTGCCGTCATCATCCTTACAAAAAAAAAAAAAAAAAGAAAAAAAAAATGACTAGCCCATGCAATGGCATTGCATCTATATACAGGTTCTGATTGTTATTGTTGCTTGGCGCAGATGAATGCAGAAATCATAACAAATGCACAGCCTGGGATACTGGATACTGTATACTGGTTACATCTACCCGCAGACCCAGTGCTCGAGGACTGGCCCTGGTGATATTTATTGTGGGGCTGATATTTATGTAAATTGCTAAAAGTCAAAGCAAATTAAGCCCAGGCCTCAGCAGCGATGACGTTGAAATGTTGCATCCCATGTGCGAGGCTCAACAGTTTATTACACTTTTATTAAAGTTGCCCGCTTCGCCCATTAACTGCACAGATAGCTATTGTGCTAAATTGTGGATAAGGTGTGGCCAGGCACACATGCGGAGCAGCAACTTCGGTTTAGTTGGTCTCTTATTCAAAATTCATTTCGTATAGATAACTATGCGAGAGTGTCTATAAGTTATTTGTCAGCTATTGCTATCAGTTCAGTTCAGCTCAGAGCGAAATTCAAACTATAAATCGAAAGTTTTTCATTGATAGAAAGTTCTTGAAATAGATGATCATCATTTATTTTGCCCTGTTCTTTTTTTAGATAATTATTTGTAAACCTACTTTTCTCGGCAGCTGACCGAGGTGATCTGATTGAATGATTGACTGCTGACAGATTGATTGGTTGACAGACTTTAACATAGGCTGACAGGGACAAACGAAATAAAAGCAGCGATAAATTTTCATAAAAATATTTTATAATAATGAGGTCATTGACTGATTCATTCATACATCTAGCAATATAATTAATAATATAATAATTGTATAACAGAGATAATTGATTGATCCGACAGGCTTGTGATAAGCAAGATCAAATCAAGAACTTATGCAGCTGAACTGATTCATGTATGTATATGCATGCACATTACATATGCTTGTTATACATTGATACTATTAACAAACCACACATATTTTTATTTTATTATATTTTTGTGTGAATTATACTTAGTATATATAGTTACAAATATATATTGACAGTAATATAATTAGCAGTCCTTACCCTACACAAAATTCAAATCTACTGAAAATATAAATTTTCCCCTAAAATAAATAAAATTGTGCCTATTTAGAATGTAAAGAGAATAATCTAGAAAAAAATAAATGCATTGTAAGGGCTTGTTCATACAACTTAAGCTATATTTTTTCAAAGTGTATAGTGAAATAATGGGTTAGTATCTCTCGCAGGCCTAGACTGCTAGGTAACACACATAAAACATAAAAATAGAGCTCGACTGATAGTGAAATTTACTCAACTGATAGGCCGGACTTGTGCTTGCCTGATAAGAGACGACACCCTATCAGCAGACGTTCGCAGTGCTTAAGGGTCTGCACTGTGGCAACACATTCTCCCAATTAGTTAAACGGTCATTCAAAGATCATCTATAATCAATTAATTATAGATTTTGTTACAACACGATGACAGACAATTCTGTAAAGGTCATAAAGAAAGCAAATAGAATTTTTATGACGGACTTAAGGCTGCTTAGGAAGACTACTTTCACCTCGTTTAATGTTGGAAAAATCCCTAGTTGACTAAGTAAACTCTGAGCAACATATGCCACCGACACGTGTGCTTGGCAATCTGCCAGATAACTAGATAAATTTATTTTTCTTATACCTAGAACTCGTAGCCCATGATGGGGTATATTCATTTTGTGTAAATAGATAGACAAGGTTTGAGTGGCTTTAAGAACAATTGAGCTTGGCTGACGATTTTTGTTTAATCGCCGGTCCCAGGGTTTTTTATTTCTAAATACTTAGAGCTCTTTATCATATACAACTCATCATATGAAAATATGTGTTTACATGATAATTCGCATGCTCATCAACGTCGATTAGAGCCCAGCCCTTAACGTGGAATATATTAATATTTTCTATGTACACAATAAATGTTCAAATACCCCCACGCAACAATCGAGGGAAGCCCATTTCGGGTAAAAGTTTTCTGTATACTAGAGATCTGCATAAATCGCAACTAATTGCGGCTTGCGGCTAAGACAACAAAAACATGTCTAACCAGAATGTGTATATAATTAGACGTGAATGTAAATACAGAACTGCTCAAGTGGTCCATATACATCATATATATAGAGTGTATGCTTACAGTAAATAGACTTAATTAATATGATATATAGTCGGAGCATGAATGTCGTATGAACGAATTGTTGACATTCCACTTAAGAAATGTTTCGTAAATTATGTGGGATTGGCTATTTCTGGCATGGGCTACGTGTTAAGTACTTGTTGGCTCCAGCATGATAATTTTTTCAGTGGCCACGCCCCTTTTTAGCGACGCGCTACTCACTAGATGCAAATCAGCTGATGCTCAATTTGCGACCACAACAAAAATAACAAAGTTCTTGACTACGTCGATTGCTTTGACATTCAGTGAAGGTTAAATCTCCTCTCCATGCTAGCTGCGAACTGCAAACTGCGTTCTCCCTCTCTTCACTCAACTATCGCACACTGTGCTCGATGTTTCCATATATGTGTATGTATATGTGTGCTTATGTGTATGTGTGTATCGCTCTGTACTGCTGCATATCGCCTATTTGTTCTCCCATATTTACAGCAGAGCATTTCATTACTTAGACATCGACCTCGACATCCACCGCCTCCACGACTTAAAGACCTGGATATGTAACTATTTAAGGCGCTGCCCGAGTTGGCGTCTAAGTCGGCGTCGATGTCGACGGTAACGTCAACGTCAACGTCGACTACGCTGCCGGCGTTATTGAAAAGATTTTCCGGTAATACCGGCAGCGTGACAGTACGATTATCAATAACGGGAAAATAGTAGGACTATTCGTAATCCTAACATGCATTTCACTTTTACCCTGCACAGGGCGGCGGCAAAGATGCAATCGCCGGCAAGAATATCATTTTCGTCGCCGGCCTGGGTTGCATTGGAATGGACACCAGTCGGGAGATTGTCAAGAGCGGACCAAAGGTAAGGCTGTGTGTCTGCATGATAGATCTTTCAATACAAATTTCAATCGTTCCATAGAACCTGGTTATCCTTGATCGACTTGAGAAGCCAGAGGCTATTAAAGAACTAAGTGGCATGAACCCAAAAACAAAAGTAACTTTCCATCCCTATGATGTAACCGTTCCATTAGAGGAGTCCGTAAAGCTGATGAAGACAATCTTCGACAAGCTGAAGACAGTCGACTTACTCATCAATGGAGCTGGCATCCTAGACGATCACGAAATCGAACAAACCATTGCAGTGAACTTTACAGGCACAGTGAATACCACCACGGCCATCATGCCCTTCTGGGACAAGCGCCAGGGTGGCCCAGGCGGTGTCATTGCGAACATCTGCTCGGTGACTGGCTTCAATTCGATCTACCAGGTGCCCGTCTATTGTGCCTCCAAGGCAGCTGCCCTCAGCTTCACCATGTCGCTGGCTGTAAGTGATGAGTCTATCGACTTAATACAGTGTGCAACGATTGTCCAAATTTCATTCCCCAATATAGAGACTGACTCCGGTTACTGGCGTAACTGCCTACTCCATCAACCCTGGCATCACGAAGACAACTCTGGTCAACAAGTTCAACTCGTGGCTGGATGTGGAGCCTTGTGTGGCCCAGTTGCTTCTGGCGCATCCCACTCAGACGACTAAGCAGTGCGCCAAGAGCTTTGTGAAAGCGATCAAAGAAAATAAGAATGGCGCCATCTGGAAACTGGACTTGGGTACCCTGGAAGCCATCAAGTGGACCAAGCACTGGGATTCCCACATTTAATTGTTCAAGTCTCGAAACCCAGAAGTTTGTGTAGCCGACAGACCAGATTCACCAAAAGTCAACTAAATTTTAAGTTTAAGTATAAGGCTAAAAACAGATTAGATATTTTTCTAGTGAAACAAATATACTCACTTAATTTATGAAATTGCAAAGTCTAATATCTCAATCGGGTATAAACATTTTGCACATGGTGTATGCTGCGTCGGAATAGAATTTTGTTTTCATTAATATGATATGATTCCTAAAAATACCTATGTAAATTTCCTGTTTTTCAACTTTTATAAATAAAATCTTTATGATTTTTTTAGTTCTGTGATAAGCTCAATCTTCGTGTATGCTGCAACCTCCATGCATCCAATCAGTTAGCTCTAAATAATATATGCGAAATAGAATCTAAACATAGAACAGAACTGCCATCGTTTTGAATATAAAGTCTTTAGTATTATTTGCGTCATATGATAATTCACTTTCTTAAGCATTTGCAAAGTTAATAAAATAAGAAAATAGTTGCAGAAGTATACCCTGGTTTAAGACGCCGGTTATATAGCTATACTCTTATTCAAAACTAATTGAAAACTGGTTTCCTGCATTATCTCCTCATTTACTCTATAATATTCACTCTGATACAGTAGATCAAACCCATCTATTTAATTCATATATTCTTTAGCTTTTTGTTCAGTATAATATTCATATATTGTTTAGCTTTTTGCTCAGTATTTAACAACTCAGAGTATTGATACTATTTATATGCAATTGGTTACTTGATATGGAAGAAAATATATATTTATTTCGATAAAAAAGTTTTACGAATTGCATTATAATGTAAAGTAGATCACAGGGTACAGCACAGTTGGGAGCATCTCATTTCTAATTCTAGTTGTATTATAAATAAATTAGTTCAGGGAGGCGGCGCATGATGTGTCTCTGCGTAGCTGCGTAGAATGTAGAATTTAATTTAAGATTTCTACACATAAACGCAAACACGCGAAGACACGAGCGTTTAGACAAGGGCAAAATAAAACCAAAAAATGCTCCGAGTCTAAATAAAGCACATGGAATACGTAAAACCGGCATGATTCGCTTTGACTTTGGAGAAAAAAGAACCAAAAAGCATTGAATCAAAACAAAACGCCAACAGCTCTGCCCGAGCTGGCGTCTAAGTCGACGCCAACGTCAGCTTCGCGGTCAGCGTTATTGATAAGCCAACTGAGAGATTTGCTTGCAATACGACCGGCAGCGTGGCAGTGTAGTGCAGTTATAAATACTGGGCACTGGGCTAGCTGGACGTATTCGCAATTCACTTTTCGCTTGAACAGGTGAACAGCTAGAGAGCAGCTCCATAGAAATGGCAATCGCTAACAAGAACATCATCTTCGTCGCTGGACTCGGTGGCATTGGATTCGACACCAGTCGCGAGATTGTCAAGAGCGGACCGAAGGTAAGTGAGGGTTTGCATAATCGAGCCTCAAATACAGCATGACGTTCTCCTTAGAACTTGGTAATCCTTGATCGCATTGAGAACCCAGCTGCTATTGCCGAGCTGAAGGCACTCAACCCCAAGGTGACCGTTACGTTCTATCCCTATGATGTCACCGTCTCGGTAGCAGAGACTACAAAGCTATTGAAGACAATCTTCGACAAGCTGAAGACAGTCGATCTGCTCATCAATGGAGCTGGCATCCTGGACGACTACCAGATCGAGCGTACTATTGCGGTGAACTTCACAGGCACAGTGAACACCACCACGGCCATCATGTCCTTCTGGGACAAGCGCAAGGGCGGCCCAGGCGGTGTCATTGCCAATATCTGCTCGGTAACTGGCTTCAATGCCATCTACCAGGTGCCTGTGTACTCCGCATCCAAGGCAGCTGCTCTCAGCTTCACCAACTCTCTGGCCGTAAGTGAAAAACTAATTAATAAGACGGGTGCTGTGACTAAAGTAATCTGTCTATATAGAGACTGGCGCCCATTACCGGCGTGACTGCCTACTCCATTAACCCTGGCATCACGAAGACAACTCTGGTCCACAAGTTCAACTCGTGGCTGGATGTGGAGCCTCGTGTGGCCGAGCTGCTTCTGGAGCATCCCACTCAGACAACTCTGCAGTGCGCCCAGAACTTTGTCAAGGCTATTGAAGCCAACCAGAATGGCGCCATCTGGAAACTGGACTTGGGTACCCTGGAAGCCATTGAATGGACCAAGCACTGGGATTCGCATATCTAAGCTGTTCAAGACGATTACGGCTAATTGAAATTCGATTCACCCGACTCAACAAAATTTAAAAATAATCGTCACATAAGGCTGAAAACAAAAATTATTCAAATCATTCTAATGCAATAAATACACAAGCATATTTTATAAAATTGGGAAAACAAATATCTCAATTGGGTAACAGGAATAGGCGTTTGGTAACTGAGAAGTTGTTAAAAATATATATTTTTTTTTTAAGAACCGACTGCCTTTTTAGCAATATCCAGTTTAAGGAGTAAAATAAAATCAAACTAAGATTAGCTTTATCCATTTTTGAAAAATATAAATATAAAAATATTTATATCATATGATATAATACCTGTACAGTAGTCTAAACTTCCAAATTTACAAGATCAATTTGTTCTATTTTTATATATATTTATGCACTTGGGATCACAATAGCTGTCATCTTTATATATACAGTTACTTTTAAATAATAGTTTTAAATTAGATTTTTAGGTGTACAAAATGTCCAGTTTTTTAATTCGTGCAATCAATTTACGTACGTCAAATGATTGAAATGTTCAGTAAACGAAGAAATAGTTGCTATAGTATAACCTAGTTTGCGGTGCCGCCTATTGCTATGGCTTTGCCCGTATATGAATAGCTTATTCTATACAAACTGAAAACTGGTTTCCAAAATAGACTTACGGGTAATCGATTATATGCATGTGCGACTATATCTGAATAACTAAGCTCTAAGTGCATAGCAGCAGCAGCTTGAGGGTAGGCTAGATAAAAGATCTGTAGCCAGCGGGAAGAATTTAATTTATAAATGAATTATTTATTAATTTTATGAATATCTCAATTGTAGCCCTTATTTGTTGTCTTCTAGTTAGAGTCATTCACGTCTCATATAGTTTGCTGTCCGTCTGTCGGGCTTTTTATTCGTTCGACATGCTTGAAGCTAGAGAAGTTTAAATATATACTCGTAGAGATCCCCATCTAACTAATAAGCTACTCAAATTTTCTCAATATGTTCACTTTGATTGCATCAAATCGGGAAATACTAGTTGAGGCCTGATATGTAAAACTGTATATATTTGGTACGGGAGTTACAGGTAAAATCTATAAATCAAAGACTCTATAACATTTATACAAATTTTAATAAAATTATGTTTTAATATTTTTAACACTACTGAGGCAAAAAATTGGCATTTGGCATATGTAGACAGCCTTCATTAGCCGAATAAGGGGGCGTGGCATAGATAAATTCATATCATATTACGTTCTGAGGGTATAGGCATAAAATTGATTGAGTTGGTGTGAAGCGTTTTTATTGATACAGAAACAAAATATGTACTCCCCTTTAGGGGCGTGACTTTTTCTAATTTAAAAAAGAAATTTTAATACTATAAATATTATGTGAGGGCGTGGAAAATGGTGATAAGTTCTTTAATACAAATTTACAGTTAGTTTGCGTGAAATACTTATATTTTCCATAGATTTAAAGCTAACTAATGGGATAGCTAAGTTACTAGATTTTTTATACCTTGAACCCATTGAAAATGGGAAATCAGTTTATAATGGTTTTGTGAAAAATATGTAACAGGCAGAAGAAATCATCGCAGATCCCATAAAGTATATACATATATTCTTGATCAGCGTAACGAGCTGAGTCGATATAGCCCTGTCCGTCTGTCCGTCCGTCCTTCCGTCCGTCTGTATGAGCAAGCCGATCTCAGAAGATATAAGAGCTAGAGAGCTAGAAATTTGGCTTGCATACTCGTGGATACCATAGGCAGTACAAGTTTATCTTATTTTTTCAATAACTCATCCGATAACTTTTTTATCGAGAAAAATCGAAAAATCGACTGCGTATATACAATTGATCGATATGAAGATTTGGTCGTTTACAGATTTTGGATACCACGCCCCTTTCGCGTATTTCAAGTGCTAGAGACTTAAGTTTTGGAATGTACATACACTTTACTCTACTCTATGAACATGCTCTGAAAGTTTCATAAAGATTGTATGTCTACAAAAGAAATTAATATAATGTGCATAACAGAAGTGCAGAATGATTCGAATATCAGCTCCAGGGTATCTCCTAGTCGAGCAGTCTCGACTAGAGCCTTCTTACTTGTTTTCAAATAGTGTAAGCCCAAGCATCGTGGACGAACGAAACAAAACGAGCTAAGCTTACATACCGAAAAGCTCGGTACATAGAAGCAACGAACGAAAGAAAATATAAAGCATCATTCAAGTTTTGATTTCGTTTTAGCTATCAGCTAGTGTTGCTAGCTTAGACTATTTCAAGCTAGATTTAGCATATTACTATTGAATACAGAAGCACATTTTTATTTAGAAGTAAAAATAACGACCAAATTTTATTCATATAAACGTAATTTTATAAACTTAGGATTTTAATATATGTATAGCCAATTCTAGCCTGATTTTTGCTCAGCAACGGCGCTCAACGCGCGATAAAAGTACCGTACAATTTTTTTTGACTTTACTCGCTTTTCGTTTCGTTTGCCTGGGTTTCTGTTTTACTCTGCTTAAAGCGTAAGAAGTAAAGTAAAACAGAATACTTGGCGACTTTGAGTACCATTCGTTTCGTTTTGCAGCAATGCTTGCGATGCTCAAACACTTACGAATATCAGTATAGACGACCGTAAGCGCGTATACCCATGCAGGCCTCTAATGCATATATACAGCAGAGCGCGTGCTTATACGTACGCGTGGATGCATGTGTATGTATGTATGTGTGCATGAAAGAAGTGCAGAATGATTAGAATATCTGCTTGGAGGGTACAGGGTATCTCCTAGTCGAGCAGTCTCGACTGGAGCCTTCTTACTTGTTTCCATTTGTTTGTGTCTTTCGAATGAGTATTTTGCAGTCGATAAAGCCCGCGATGTTGGTTTTATTATAAATAAATTGCTTCACAGGCGTATCTGCCTAGAAGTTAATTTAAGATTTGTAGACGAAATCGCTACGCGACACCAGCGAACAGACGAAGACAAAATAAAACAAACAAATAGTCATCCTGAGTCGAAGTAAAACATATGGAATACGTGAAACCGGCATGAGTTGCGTAGAATTTCGGAAAAAACCAAACAGAAGCGAATCAAAACAAAACGCCGAAAATTCTACTCGAAATGGCGGCAAAGTGGCCGTCGACGCCGACTGCGCGGCCTTCGTTATTGATAAGCCATGTGCTGCGTGGGCAGCGTGGCCGTGTGGCTCTATAAATACTGGGCACATGGCTTACCAGTCTCATACGGCAATCAGTTTTCATCTGAGCAAGTCACAAAAAAAGTTTAAGAAAATGGCCATCGCTAACAAGAATATCATCTTCGTCGCTGGACTCGGTGGCATTGGATTCGACACCAGTCGCGAGATTGTCAAGAGCGGACCAAAGGTAAGTGAGTGTCTATGAAAGAAATCCTTCGATACAAACTGGTTGCCTTCCTTAGAACCTGGTAATCCTTGATCGCATTGAGAACCCAGCTGCTATTGCCGAGCTGAAGGCACTCAACCCCAAGGTGACCGTCACGTTCTATCCCTATGATGTCACCGTCTCGGTAGCCGAGAGCACAAAGCTTCTGCAGAAAATCTTTGACCAGCTTAAGACAGTCGATCTGCTCATCAATGGAGCTGGCATCCTGGATGACCACCAGATCGAGCGCACCGTTGCGGTGAATTTCACAGGCACAGTGAACACCATCACGGCCATCATGTCCTTCTGGGACAAGCGTAAGGGCGGCCCAGGCGGAGTCATTGCGAACGTCTGCTCGGTGACTGGCTTCAATGCCATCTACCAGGTGCCGGTATATTCCGCATCCAAGGCAGCTGCTCTCAGCTTCACCAATTCTCTTGCCGTAAGTCCTAAACCAATTGATTAAAAATGAACATAGATGTGATTTGATCCCTATATACAGAAACTGGCGCCCATTACCGGCGTGACTGCCTACTCCATCAACCCTGGCATCACAAAGACACCTCTGCTCCACAAATTCAACTCGTGGCTGGATGTGGAGCCTCGTGTGGGCGAGTTGCTGCTGGAGCATCCCACGCAGACAAGTTTGGAGTGCGCCCAGAACTTTGTCAAGGCTATCGAAGCCAACCAGAATGGCGCCATCTGGAAACTGGACTTGGGTACCCTGGAAGCCATTGAATGGACCAAGCACTGGGATTCGCATATCTAAATTATTCAACTCGAGAGAGCCGGCAGCTTATGGATTCACGTAATCAATTAAATTTGAAACCAATTCCCAGATAAGTCTGAAAATAAATCATTCTAATGTAATATATATACATATGTTTTTTTAAAAATTCTATTTAATTATAAATAAATCGAACAATATCTACAAAGCGACTATTTTAATGGGTTGAGTGAGTGGAATCTACTCTAAGGCTCTATAAAGTTCCATGCTGAAAAGGGAAGGGACCTCATACGACACTAAAATCTAAACACTTGGGATAACACATGGCAATTCCTATAAATATAATAGAACACCTAAAAATACCTATGGAAATTTCCTTTTCTTCAATTTTGAAAAAAAAAGAAAACAAAATTAAATGTTCTTATTTTTTAAAATATGTAAAAAATTTAATAAGAATAGAAATTTATTCACTTTTTAGGTTTTAATGTAACATAAGAAATGTTACTTGCGTCAAATGATAATTTACTATTTGTAATTCATTTAAATTGAATTGAATAATAATCAATGGTATACATGGCTCAAGAGTACTTGAAAACAGGTTTGTAAGCGATTATAAGTATATGATATGAGAAGTTAATGGCACAGTGCATCGACTTAACGTGTTAATTGGATAAAAGTTTTGTGAATATTATCAAGAAAACATACTTCAATGAAGTGATATTCCACGACTTTAAAAATTTTGAAGAAGTCTTAAAGCAATGTGATCAGTTTTTATCATATATGTTACAATCTTAAAATAAATACAATCAATCAAGCTACAATTTAAGTGCGCCAATTATTTCGAAATTCGATTTCGATTTATATCCAGAATTATTCATAACTTATTTTTT